TATCTCTAATTTGCCTTTCTTCTGGTGTTTTACAAGGCATTGCTGCTAATATTGAGAATTCCTTTGCCCATTGTCTATGATCATGTTTACCATCTCTTCCTTGTCCACCACCATTTCCTCCCCAGTTTTCGTCTTCTACTGGAAGTGGGGGGAAAACAGATGGGTTATCTGCCACAACTGGTGGTACAACCCATGTGTTGGCTTGAAATCCATAAGGGAGATTCCCAAACTGTAACAAATATAAACCATTTGCTTGTTAGGTTGTTATATCGTGAAATTATGATGTTAAAAGTGATTAGTAAGTTTAAGTTCGACTTACTTTATTGTGCTCGATGAAAGCTTTCATAAGAGCTTTGTATGCCTGTAGTATAACACTTTAGATGTTAGATCCGTGAATAATAGTGATCAAATTCGTCTAGATTACAATGAAGCTTGTACTTACACTGTCAAAGATCCGGCTTATCTGCTGCAATAGACCAACCAAAGAATGACTTGAAATAATACGTTTTCCAGCCGGATAGAAACCTTTCCTCGAGGCAACAACTGTCATAGGCTTCCCACCGGAAACACGTACCTGCATACGAATCATATCAGTCGCTACAGTAATCCAGCAACACTACGAACATGTCTAAAATAAGAGTTGTCCATAGTTCATACGTTTTCAGAGAAAGTAAAGAAATGCTCACATCAATTTGGAAGAAATCGTCGTCGGTTTTATCTTCCAGGAAGGGACGAGCGGATCTCCTGATGTCTGTAATTGTAAAAACAACACGCAAGCTATAAAAACCTGGACAGCAAAACGAAATTCAGGTTTGTAATCGATAGGGACATACATTGGATGGGAGCAGTGAGATGAGAGAACGAGAAGAAGTCGTAGAACTGTCCAAGCTTCGGCGGTGGATAGATCTCCGCCGCAGCGTCACCTTTCTCCGACGGATCTGAACTGATCGAGACATCTGTCTTCGGCGATTTATCCTCTCCGTTCGACTTCTTATCCAGACCGGTCTCTCCATCGCTCGATCCTGATTCTTTCGAACGAGGAGGAGCAGCAGTGGAGGTGTTCTTGGGAGAGTTAGATGAACCACCGAAGGCGGTGGTGCAAGCCACAATATCCAGGAGTCGTCTGACGTGTGCGACGGCGGATTCTTCCGTGTAATCCTCTGCGAAAAGAAAATTTTAAATGAAACTTTAAACTAGCCCCTTGGAGTTATGGTTATTGTCATAACACCACTAAAGAATATCAGTATTTACCTTCAACTACCGTTAAGTGACATGGCTTTAGAGCAACGACTTCCACCGTATCTTTTAACCGTGGACCTCGTACCTGTCGAAAACATGTAACATTGTTTTTAAATTTATTAGAAATCGACAATTCATACAACTTGAAAAGTATCAATATTATTGATTACATAAACGTAATGGTTCAAACTGAATCTTTATTTAATTGTCGTTTTTTTGTCTGACTTAATAGTACACGATATTATTGTTTATACAAATGCGTTGATCCATGCTTACTAAATTCGGTCTCTATTTAATTATTGTGTTTTTCTATTTTGAGTATGAAGCATGAAAGAAGCCGGAATATATTTATCTTCTTTTTTTTTTTTCTCAATAATTATGATCCTCCATGTCAACTTTATTATAGCGAAAACAATTTAACTTGCAGCTAATTTTTAAAAGTGACAAAAATAATGCAAGTCTATATTTTACTTGTAGATCAAAATTGTGAAAGGTTACAAAATGCAACAAATATTTTACAATAAAAAGACATGCTATAACTTCGTTTTATCTACCAATCTTGATTTGTAAAATAAACTATATCACGTGATAGATTTAGTTATTGATTGTTAACAGAACATATATTTTTTGCATCAAATTCGCAACATAATTCACTAAGTAGGATCAACATAAACAAAAACAATAATTATAAAACAAAACTGTAAGACGTTAGATATGCATGCTATAAATCCAATTTATAATACTTTTCATAACACTTTATCGGTTAAGTTGCACCAAACTTGATTATATACACAAAAGAATCTTAACTGTCTTCTATTAAAAAACAATAAAAGTATTTTTCAGAGTTATTTTACCAATGCCAATTATACGATAAAACACAGTGTATATAAAGCAAAAATTTATGCATAATCAATTATTTTGACTTTGATGAGAAACAATAAATATTTACATATACCTCATGCGTTAAAGAGTAGTTTGTCACATGACATGTCTCAACATGTACTGCTAGCAGCTTTCGAACATCTAATATTCTGTCAGTAGATATTCCCTAATATCATCAACATACAAAAAATCAAACCATATAAAGATAGTAAAGACTATCTATATGCTAATCGCAGCCAAGTAAAAGAACCGATTGCTTTTTGAATTGGGGTTACCTTAAGTGTCACTGTTGAGTCATCAGGCGTTTCTATTGCTATTTCTACCACTGTTGGTAATGCTGTAAAACAAAGAATGTTACTCAGTATTTCAAACTATGACAAATAATAGTAACAAGAATATTTTTTAGACAAGTTAAGATTAATAAATAAAAAAATAATTAAAACATCATCGCACCCCACCCACAATCATTGAGAGTAGAAGCATCCATATGATATCAATAAAGCAAAAGCAACCAAAAAATAATAATAATAATAATTTAAATCAAATTAGTCGACATGTGCAATGTAATTTGTTTAAAATGAGTAAACAGTCATTCTTTTTTTACGACAAACATTCCTCCCCTCTAAGAGTCCAAGTTCGATCAAGTCTCAAACATTCAAGTTTCAACCTACCTTCATCTCTGTGGGCTCCATATGCATATGTAATACAGATACCACTTATGATTCAAGAAAATCAATAAAAGAAAATCCTAAATAGTAAAAAGAAAACCGCTCATTAATGAATGTGTATATTAATTGATGAATGGTGATTTTATTTTTTCCAAAAAATATACTTAAAATTTATTATTATTTCTATGTACTCTATAAAATATATTACATGCTGATATACAAAAAATAATAATAATAATAATAATCTTTTTAATACTGTGTTAAGAAATGGTTTAATATTTTTATTTTTTATAGTTTTATCTAATTGGAAACAGAAAACCAATTATAATTATGACAAAGATTATCATTGTTATGCTTTAGTAAACATTATATATATATATATATATATATATATATATATATATATATATATATATATATATATATATATATATCGATGTTACCTACCAAATTAATTTTAATATTATTCATTAGTGAATGGTTTTAATTTTTAATCTTTTAAGGTCTTAATTTTTTAGAAAAATATATATATTAAAAAATTATCATTTTTATGCTATAAAATCGATATTTCTAATGATAATATAATAAATTAAAAAGTGCAGGAGACAAATTCAATCTGGCTGCAAGCAAATTGAAATAATAGCATAACCAATGATTAGATTATGTCTTCTGAAATTGTATCTTTGAAAGCAATTGTTGTGGTTTAAAATGGCGGAAACACAAATAAGGTACCTTTCTCTTCCTTCTTCTTCTTTTCTCCCTTAGCCTTGTGAGGTTTTCCTTTACTAGCTTTCGGCGCCATAATCAAACCCAGTCAACAACCAACAACGAACAGAGAAGAAGAAGAAAACAGCCAATTCAATCAACAAAATGACAATGCTAAACTAATTAATCAAAATTTAATATTCTTCACGCTAACATAACAAAAATCATGATGTGAATTTCCCTCAGAGTCCCTATAGATTCGTACTCAAATTGAAACGCACAAAAGTAAAACTATGGATAGGAATTTTGGATTTTCTGGATAATGGAAACTTCTGGAATTGGAAGTGACGATAAATTAGAAATTAAAAAGCAGGATGCATTTGGTGAGGAGTGAAGAGCATGTATTGAATGGAGAATTGAGAGGAATTGAAAGTAGAAGTAGAACTGTAGAAGTAGAAGTAGAAGTAGAAGTAGGAAATAGTAGCTAAGGAGATGGGCCAATGAGAGGATTGATAAATTATGGTGGAGTGGTAGAGAGAGAGGGAAGAAGAGAAGGGAAAGAGATGATAGGATAAGGTGACACGCACACACACACAAACACACAGAGAGAAGAGAGAGAAGATTTTGCAAGTACGTACAAGTAACAAGATGGATTTGATTTGAAGAATGTAATGGCTGGGTGGATGGCTATTTTCAGGCCTCTCGTCTTTTCTCTCTCTCTATTCACATGAACCACAAAACTACTTTCTAGAAGAATTTTGGGGATGTGTTTGTTAGTTTCCAAAATATTATTGTAATTTTAACAAGAGTTGGTCACTAATATATAGATATAACGAAAATATATTTTTTTAATTATTACAGTATAAAATACTCATTTATTTTTCAAAAACAGATTTCGTGAATTGGTTTTAAGTTTGGAAATAATTTAGTTATCATATTCATTTATTTATGGTAAGTTTGGTTTTTCCTTGGTAAACATTTTTTCCAAATTGAAGATTATTAATGGTTATTAATGTGGTGGCATACCCGCAGCAATCGGAGATTCGGACTTTCTGGTTCTATTACTGTATCGAATCTTTTCATCAACATCTTTTTTTTATGTTCTTCACCTGTAGAATTTTCTTTTTGCACATATTTTGCATCCAATTAACTTTGTGCTTGCATCAGACACATCTCTTGTGATCTTAATAACCAAATCTCTGATACTCTCCTCAGGCAAAATCGAATCAATCGGCCCATTTGAGGAGGTTGTCTGCCACAACTATGTGTTCGCTTGAAATCCGTAAGGTAGATTCCCAATCTGTAACTATGTGTTACCTTCATTATTGTGATCGATGAAAGCTTTCATAAGAGCTTTGTATGCCTGTTGTATAACATTTTAGATGTTAGATCTATGAATACTAGTCACATACGTCTAGATTACAAATTTACAATCTAGCAACACTATGAACATGTCTAAAAATATAGCTGATGCACACATCGATTTAGCAGAAATCGTCGTCGGTTTTATCTTCGAGAAACGGATGACCGGATCTCCTGATGTCTGTAAATATAAATGTAAAAACAACACGCAAGCTATAAAACCTGGAATATAAAATGAAATTTAGGTTTGAACTCGTTAGGGACATACATTGGATTGAGACGAGAGAACGAGAAGATGTCGTAGAACTGTCCAAGCTTCGGCGGTGGATAGGTCTCCGCCGCCGCGTCACCTTTCTCCGACGGATCTGAACTGATCGAGACATCTGTCTTCGTCGATTTATCCTCTCCGTTCGACTTCGTATCCTGACCGGTCTCGCTGACTCGCCATCGCAAGATCCTGATTCCTTCGAGCGAGTAGGAGCAGCCGTGGAGGCGTTTTGGGGAGAGTTCAGAGTTAGATGAACCACCGAAGGCAGTGGTGCAAGCCACAATATCCAGTAGTCGTCTGACGTGTGCAAAGGCGGATTCTTCCGTTCCGTATAGTCCTCTGCAAAAACGTATGTTAAATCAAACTTTTATTTAGCCCCTTGAAGTTATTTATTGTTGTCAAAAATACCCCCAAAATAATATCAATGTTTTACCCTTAACGACTGTTAAGCGACGTGGCATTTGACCAACGATTCCGACTGTATTTTTTGTTGGCTTTTCTCAAGCTCTGCACTCAAAGAAGACAGTGTAAAGAAAACACAGAGCACAATATGAGGCAAATGTATTCTTTCTTATTGATTGAAGATTGAAGGGATAATTGAAACGTACATATTGCCTATCTATTTAAAGACTAAAAATGAGTAAATACTTGCAAATAAAACGGAACTAACGATTATCTTGAGACCAGGGATTGTGTGCTACGTGGTCTCTTGACTTATTCCTCACAAGTAAACGTGTAAAATAACTTGAAAAAAAATCGGAATTAAACTTTCATTTTCCCCCTTAATTCTGATTTTCCAACACCAATCAGAATTCTCATTTCTTCATGCTTCATCTTTGCCATAGCCTTGGTAAGAATGTCTGCCTTCTGCATTTTTGTACATACGTGATTCACAACTATATCTCCCTTTTCAACACATTCACGAATGAAATGGTATCTTATATCAATATGTTTGTTGCGCCCGTGGAAGACAGGGTTCTTCATTAATGCCAAAGCAGATTGATTATCAATAAACAGATCAACTGGTGGGACTTGTTGCTTTGTTATCTCAGTAAGAAGACGTCGCAGCCAGATTCCTTGACATGCTGCAGTAGTGGCGGCTATGAATTCAGCTTCACAAGATGACAGAGCAACCACTCGTTGCTTTTGTGAACCCCATGCGATCAAGTTTCCATTTAAGTAGAAGGCCATTCCCCCTGTACTTCTTCTGTCATCTATATCATTTGCTAAGTCACTGTCTGAGTATCCAGTGATAGCAACCTTACTCTGTCCCCTCTTATACGTGAGGCCATAGTCCAATGTCCGTTTCAGATACCTGATAATTCCCTTGACTGCTTGGAGGTGCTTCACAGTTGGTTTTTCCATATAGCGACTGACAGCACCAACTGAGAAAGAGATATCGGGACGTGTGTGAGTAAGGTACCTTAAGGCACCTACGATGCTTCTGTATTCAGTAGGGTTCACGAGCTCTCCTTCTTCATTTTTTGACAGCTTTAGCTTGTGTTCCATTGGACATTTTGTTGGGTTGCAGTCGAGCATGCGTGTCTTCGATAGAATGTTTCTGGCATATGCTTGTTGAGTCAAGGTTATACCCATTTCAGATTGATTCACTTCAATTCCCAAATAGTAAGTGAGCAGTCCTAAATCGCTCATTTCAAACCTTGAGCTCATCTCCATCTTGAAGGTCTCTATCTCTGTCTGACAGCTTCCAGTAACAAGCAAGTCATCCACATACACACCAATTATCAGTGTGTGTCCATTCTTCATCCTTGTGTACACCGAGTATTCTTGGGCACATCTTGAGAAACCTAACCTTTTCAAGTGCTGATCCAAACAAGCATTCCAAGCCCTAGGTGCTTGCTTTAAGCCGTACAGGGCTTTTATCAGCTTGTACACCTTATCAGTTTCTCCCTTTTTCTCGAATCCCTCAGGTTGGGTCACATACACATCCTCTTCTAATTTCCCGTTCAAAAAAGCGGATTTCACATCGAGGTGGTGTACACTCCACCCATTCGTGCCTGCGAGTGCTAGAATGAGACGTATCGTTTCAATTCTAGCGACGGGGGCAAAGACTTCTTCGTAATCTACTCCGTACCTCTGCACATATCCCTTCGCCACAATTCTGGCTTTGTGCTTTATAATTCTTCCATTCGGGTCTCGTTTCACCTTGTATACCCATTTAAGACCGATGGCCTTGCGATTCTGGGGAAGATTTACCAGCTCCCAGGTGTTATTCTTCTCAATTGCAGATAACTCTGCTTTCATCGCCTCGACCCATTCCTTCTTCTTTCTCGCTTCACCATACGTTGTCGGTTCATCATCGTTTCGAGCCATCATTAATTCCTCAGGGGGCAATTCAATTTCTTCTGTATTTTCATACAGATCGGTGATCAATCTGTAGCGAACAGGGGTATCGCCATCGGAGCTCACAGTGCTACTTGGAGATTAAATTGGGGAAATTGGTGAATTGTTTGTACCCAGCGTGCTTGGTGGTATACTTGAGAGGCTTTGTGGGCTGTTATTCGGATCCAATGGGGAGTTGATGGGCTGTGGGCCACTTTCAGCCCAAGTTCCTTCTTCTTGCTGACTTTGACCACCGTGCATCATCGCAGGAGTGGTGGGTTCTGGTTCGAATACATCTTCAAATTCGAAGCCTTCAACGGTAAACGACATTCCTGGTGTTGGTTTAATCTTCGTGCTCTTTTCCCACGCCCAAGCTTGACCTTCTTCGAACACCACATCTCTACTCACGTAGACTAACCCTGTATCTGGGTCCAGTAGTCGATATGCTTTAGAGCCTTTTTCAATTCCGAGATGTACCAGTCTTTTACTCCGATCATCTAGCTTTTTCAGGTGCCCTTTGACTACCTTCATATGGGCTACACAACCAAATACCCTGAGGTGTCCCACATGTGGTTTCCTTCCGGTCCACATCTCAAACGGTGTTGCATCCTTCAAAGCCTTTGTAGTCACTCTGTTCAATACATACACAGAGTGTGTCACCACTTCGCCCCATAGTACATCTGGCACGTCCATTGTCTTCAAATTGCTTCTAACCATCTCCATCACCGTTCTGTTTCGCCTTTCCACCACCCCATTTTGTTGAGGGGAGTACGGTGATGTGTAGTGACGTTCCAAACCAGACTCATTGCAGAAAGTGGTGAATTGGTTAGACATAAATTCGCCACCCCTATCTGTTCTAAGGACTTTAATCTTCTCCCCTGTTTCTGTTTCAACTTTTCTTTTGAAGGTTTGGAAAACCTGAAGTGCTTCGTTCTTTGTCTTCATCAAATAAACCCACATGACCCTACTATAGTCATCGACAAGCAACATAAAATATCGATTACCTGTGGGAGTGGGTGGTGAGACTGGCCCGCATAAGTCACCATGTACGAGTTCAAGCCTTCTCGATGCTCTGAAATTTGCTTGTGTTGGAAACGGAATTCTTAGTTGCTTTCCAACTAGACAGCCTTCACAGATCTTTGTCGGTATGCTTATTTTCGGCATTCCCTCGATCATATTCCTTTCAGTCATCATCTTCAGTGAATTAAAATTCACACGGCCTAGTCTCGAGTGCCAGAGCCAATTTGGGTCGGAGATTTTTGCAATCAAACATCTTGATTTCACTTCTTCCAGCTCGATCTTGTATAATCGATTTGGAGATCTTCTGACTTTCATAAGCAACTTTCCAGCACCATCCTGTACCCACAGAAATGGGTCCTTTATTCTGATTTCATCACCCCCTTCAGCCAGTTGACCCAGACTGATTATGTTACTACATAAGTCTGGGATGTAATATACTTCGTCGAGCTTTCGCTGGCTTCCGTCTTTGCATTGAAACAAAACATAGCCTTTTCCTTCAATCCTAACTTTCGAGTCGTTGCCAAATTTTACAAATCCCTGAATGGTCTTGTTTAGTTCATGAAATTTGGCTACCTCCCCTGTCATATGGTTACTTGCTCCGGTATCGAGATACCATAATTTTGATTAACTCGCCATACCTTTGTGTGATTGCAGCTCAGGGGACACGTTTTCTTCATTCAAAAACACCTCTTCGACCTCTCCTTTGTTGTCGAGTGAAGCAAGTAGTAACGCTGGTTCATTGTCTTCGTGATCTTGGACCAAATTGTTCACTTGGACTCTTTCTCGTCGTGGATTTGTGCATTCAGCTGCAAAGTGACCGAAATCTTGACAATTGTAGCATTGAATGCCACTTTTGTCGAAGTTGTTTTGATTTCCCCGACCTCCATTCGATCCATCTCTCCCACGACCACCTCTACTACCACCATTTCTTCCTCGACCTCTTCCTCTGCCTCGATTTTTTCCATTTCCTCCTCGATTTGATTTCGATTTGGAACCTCCTTCCCCTTTCTTCTTGTTTCTCTCTGTCCATTCTTGATGAGTAAGGAGGAGTTTTCGATCTTCGGTGTCACTGTGCCCCTTCATGCGTTCCTCGTGAGCTTTTAATCTACCAATCACCTCTTCCACAGTCATCTCTTCTAAATTCCCAAATTGTTCAAGAGTCGACGCCAATTGCAGGAATTTAGAAGGGACAGCCCTGAGTAATTTCTTTACAACGTATGATTCTTCAATCGTTTCTCCCAGAGCTCGCATTGTACTGACCATATTGCACACCTTCATAGCGAATTCATCAACAACCTCTGTCTCCTTCATGTTGAGTGCTTCAAATTCAGTCTTCAACATCTGAATTCGTGCCGTTTTCACCCGGTTTGCCCCCATAAACATTGTCTTTAAGGCCTCCCATGCTTCTTTTGTTGTCGTCTTGTCTGCTAGTGACATCAAAAGATCTTCAGGGATTCCCTGATAGATGGCAGCCAATGCCATCTTGTCTTTCTTCGTTTCTACCAACGTATTTGACGTACATGGCTCAACTGCATCCCATACTCCGTGAGCCTGCATGAACACCTTCATCTTCATTGCCCATGCACCGTAATTGTTTCTTGATAACATTGGATAGTGGAGGGTGATGTGTCCGTCTTTCTCACCATTTCCATTGCCGCTTCCTGTGTCGATCGTCATTTCTTCCTTAGACTGATACTTTGGCATACAAAACACCAGATTCGCTCTGATACCAAATGTTGGCTTTTCTCAAGCTCTGCACTCAAAGAAGACAGTGTAAAGAAAACACAGAGCACAATATGAGGCAAATGTATTCTTTCTTATTGATTGAAGATTGAAGGGATAATTGAAACTTTCATATTGTCTATCTATTTAAAGACTAAAAATGAGTAAATACTTGCAAATAAAACGGAACTAACGATTATCTTGAGACCAGGGATTGTGTGCTACGTGGTCTCTTGACTTATTCCTCACAACTAAACGTGTAAAATAACTTGAAAAAAAATCGGAATTAAACTTTCATTTTTTAGCCTTCGACCTTGTACATGGAAGTACTGCTGGTCGGTATGAAATTTTTTACTCGTAAGAACCGATGTGTATA